GTTTCTTTAAGAAACCCAAAATATAAACAAAGAGCAAGAAAAAGATCATAGGAAATGCAAAGGGAGATGGATCTTTTACAGACGGGAAGGGGAATAAGAGGGAAAGGAGAGGAACGGGATGAAAAGATGTTAGGTACATGGACCAACTCCCCACGAGAAATGTAATCATATATGGTAAAAAGTAAAAACTGAGACAAAGCACTAGTTTAATTTTGAAGTTCTTCGTATGTAACTCATTGGGCCACATCCATAATTTGTTCCTTAATATATATCCCTGTAATGTATTGCCAGGCTTTTGATCATTACTGATGATCTATTAACCGATTACTCTTTGTGTGTCTTAGTGTGTTTTCTGCAACTGTCATTGAATACCACAGACAGCTTTGCAAACCATAAAGGTGTACTTGGCCCACAGTTCTGAGGGCGTACTTAGCCCACCCTTCTAGGAAGTAAGCTCAGGTAGCAGCCTCTGGTGTGGTCCTCCTTGCTTGTGGGGACTCTGCCGAGCTCTGAGGTGGAGCAGTGCCTCATATGGCAAGGCAGCCTGTCCTAGCTCAGGCATCTCCTCCTCCTCCTCCTCCTCCTCCTCCTCCTCCTCCTCTTCTTCCTTCTCGTTGGATTAAGGTCTCAGCCTTATGGCTTCATTTAATCTAATTACCTCCCAAAGGACCCAAATATCACAACCAATTGAGCTTTTACCCTCTTAATATCTCCCAGGGTTAAATTTTGACAAGTTTTTGTTTTTCCCAACATGAGTTTTTGTGGGGATGTTCAGACAACAGTGTTACATGAGAACCACATTTATGGCTTTTCAGTAACAGGGGACTTCATCTCTTAGGGCCTATAGAGACATAGCAGTGACAGCTGGGGATAAGAAAGTGGAGACTTTATAGGGGTAGGAGTGTTGCCCAGTGCTAAAGCATGTGCTGAGGGTGTAGCTCAGTCCTAGAGTATGTGCTTAGCATTTGTAAGGGCCTGAGTTCCTGCCCCAGCACCAGAAAACAAAAACAAAACCCATCAACCCTATGTTTTGGCTAATGCCAAACGGGAAGTGACCTCCGCAGGGTAACGTGGCTGCTTAGTGTTCCAGCTAGAGCCCTGGTCTCTAATCAGACTCCTTTCACTCTTCAGTGTAGGGTCCGTGGAGTCCTGGGGAAGTTTTGTCTTCTTTGTTACTTCTTTTTTCTTTCTCTGCCTCCTACTCACCCTCAAATTGAACTACTATTCTATCACAGCCTTTTTTCACTCTAAACTGTAGTACATGCCAAAGAACTTTCTACCAATACAGTGAAGTGCTGGCAACCAGAAAAATTACTCAGCATCTTGTGCATGACTCTTAGAAATACATCAGAGTGGAGCTGAGGAATGATGGAGACAGGATTCTGAGTAGTACATTGGATACACGTCCTCAAGTTCTGTTGAACTGAATGTGCATGTTTTGAATGCTTACAATGACAAGTTTTCATGTCTTGCATGTGTTCTTGGTAAAAATATTACTAAGAAATCTCAATAACTTAGAATACTATGCGACATAGCTGAATATCAAACTTGCTTCACTGAAAGATTTCAGCTATTGACTTAAAATTCACGACCCTCTTTAGCCATAAAAAGCTGTTGCTCTGCAGCTAGGTTACCCTTATGCTCTTCAGCTGTATCCAAGTTGGGAGCACACTATGAGGGGTGGGCAACTCTGCTTCACGATAGCAGCCTGTCTGCTGTCCACCTGGAGCGGCCTGAGCTCAGGACCTCTCAGTCCCCAGTGCACTGGGTCTTGGGACACTGTGCCTGCCACCTGACAGGATCTTTTCTTTTCGCCTCCAAGAGAATATATATTTTTTTAACAGCAGCACAGTGAAATGTATCCACTGCGTGCAAATTATTTCTTGGAAGTCGAATTATTTCTTGGAAGTCGTGTGACTTGATTCAGACTGCACAGAAGCACCTGACAGTCAGGTGTTTACCTCTGTGTACTCACATGGGGGAAAGGATGAGTCAGGACTTCGGAGTCACTCATGAAATTATTAACCCCTTTGAAACATTACTAGCTTAACTCCATGGTCAAAGTTTACTTCTGAAGCTAGCAGTACTGTTTTAAAATGGGGAAAGGTATTGGTAAACACTGACTGACACTGCCTTTTATGTCAGAAGATGTAGCTTTTCCTTCATTTACCTTGCACCTTACGCACTAGGTAAACACTCTTTATCACTGAACTGTATTCTCAGTTCTTTACTTCTTATTTTGAAACAAGGTCTTGCTAACTTGCCTAGACTGCCATTGAAGTTGCAATTCTCTTGACTCAGTTTCCCAATAACTGGAATACCAGACAAACACCACTCTATTCAGTGGGGTTCAGGTTTTGTTTGGCTTTGAGGAATGATGAACAAAATCTTGACCTTCAAAACGGCTTAAAGTTGCTTCGAATCTTTAGATGCTTGAAACTTCTGTAACTTTAGCTTTCTATAATATATACTGTAAATATTAATAAAAGCTTTTAATTTCTATCTCCTTAGAAACAACCACAATATTTTAGGGCCTTAATCCACATTCCGTTAAAAGGGGAGAGGAGCAGGAAAGCACAGCACCGTTTGTTAGGGTTCTGCTAGCAGACCATTGGTAAGATGCAGTATGAGCCTGTTATTATCCTCGGACGCTGATGAAGGGAAGGCTTGCTGACACAGGAGTGCATCCAGACGTTGTGTTTGAGAAACAGCCACAAAATGGCACACACCATGATGCCAGTCAGGTTTTTGAAGAGGAGACTGAGCATGTCCCCACGTTGGTACACATCACAGCAGTGCTGCGGACCACAGCCGACTGGCAGGAGCCCTGGGGGCTGGTGGTAGTGATGGAGCCCGTCGGTGTGTCTGTGTGGCTGGGGTCTCTGACAGCGAGGGCTCATGCATGTGCTGAGGACTGAAGTGAGGAAAGAGGCAGACTTCTGGGTCTGAGATGCTCAGGGAGCCTTGGTTCCTGCTTGCCTGGGTGTCTTTTCTATTCCATGCTGTCCTGTCCGTCTTTGATCTCCTGCTTTCATGTAAGTTAAGAAGCGAAGTGCATTTTCAAATTAAGGAAGGAGCATATAAGCCAGAAATGACCACATGGGGCAACTGAAGAGAGAGCATTTAAATTTATGTGTGTATGCATGTATGTATGTGTGTCTTTGAGACAAAGTTTCACTATGCAGTTTGGACTGATCATCAGCTCACTTTGTAACCCAGGCTGGTCTCAAACTCACAGTGATCCTCTTGCCTCAGGCTCCCGAGTGCTGGGATTGCTGGCATGCGTCACCATGGCTGGCAGAGAGCATTTTTATGTCTGTTTTTCTTTTCCTACTCTTGCTGAATTCAGGTCCCATTGGAACAGTCTGGGAAACCTAGTTAAAAAGTATGGGACCTTGTTTTTCATTTTATTGTGCACTGGGGAGTTAAATGCGAGTTATTAGATGTATGTATATTTTTGAAACCTTGTATATATACCCTTTATGCCCCATTTTTCCTTTAAAACATGTAGGTAAGGGTAGAACACAACAGTTTGGATGAATGTTATAGAGGTAATAAAAGATACATGTACTAGAGAGTACATGTATCCTCATATACTTGGTAGAATTTTAAAATATGCAGCATTAGCCCATGGTGGTGTCTGTGGCAGGGCTACTGTGTTGGTCAGGTTACTAGAGAAACAGATATAACACAAAATACACAAATGTATAAGAAGTCTGCACTCTGGAGGCTGAAGGGGTCAACCCAAGGGCTGGAGCTTACTGCAGCAGTGCCCTGTGCAAGTCTCTTACCAGGAAGCCAGTGAGTCTGCGATGGAACACGGAAAAGTCTACCCTGGAGGGCTGAAGGGTCCCAAGCAGAAGCATTGACTGGAGCTAGAGGTCTTTCAAAGAATCAGCAATCAGTCCCTCCTCTTTTGCTGCTCTTTTTCTTTTCTTTTTTTTTTTTTTTTTTGGCCTTTTATTATATGCAGGCTGCTGCCCTGGGGCAGGTGTAGCACTCTCACCTTCTGCAGGCCCTCTTCTTGCATAGGCTGAGGGTAAAAACCCTGGCCCCCTGCCGAATCACTTAGTTAAATTTCTGATACAATTAAGAGCATTCTAGAGCAGTAACTGCTTGTCCTCTACTTAGCAGGATGCAGAGCTGCTGAGTCACTTAGTTAAGCTAGACTTCTCAGGTTGAAGCAATGCATCAACCATAACAGATGCTTACTGCTCGGAAAGCCTGGTGGGCCCTGGAGCCCCTCCTGTGTTCCTGTCATGTGTTCACCTTGTGGAAATTCCTTGAGATGTATGCTAAGAATTGGGTGCTTTTCCATATAAATTTATAAAGCTGAAAATGGGAAGAAAGCAAAATTCTCCCCAAGTAGATATAAAGTGTGATGAATGGGTAGAAAATATTTCCCGCTTCCTTTCTCCTCTTCCCCCCCAAACCCTTTTTGTTCTCTTTCTTACTCATCGGTTCCCTGCCTTTCTTCCCAAATCAGATCATAAACTCTGTAAGATCAGGGACCACTGTTTTCTCAGGAGCTGTCCATAATAAATCACTGAAATGTAATTGAGTATCTATCTTGAATACTAAATTCTACCTATTTTCTGTAGTGGTTGGGAGGTACTTGTCCATTGATTTCTTTAAATGCTTGAAATTTTTATATTTTAGAGGGTAAACTGAGGAGGGTATGTTTCTAACATCCTTTCCATTCTGATGTGGGGACACAGTAATCAGAATAAGAATTGCCTTTTATTTATTTTTCTCTTGCTGCTTGAGTATTTCTAAGCTTCTGTTAACTTCTTGTGTTAAATTCAAGAGTTAAATAAAATGGGTTTTTCTTCCCATTTTTCATTGGTAGATGGCCAGTGTATTCTCTTTAGAAACCTGTCAACCTTTTACCCCTGTGTGAACTTCAAAGCAAAGGTGTAGGTGGTGGTAGATTACGTGTGCCCAGGTTTTTGCTGCATGTGTAGTAAACTTTTTCTCCCTCTCCTCCTGTGAACTTTCAGAGCCTTAGACAAGCTGAATGGATTCCAGTTAGAGAACTTCACCTTGAAAGTTGCCTATATCCCCGATGAAGTGGCCGCCCAGCAGACCCCCTCACAGCAGCCCCGCGGCCGCCGTGGGCTGGGACAGAGGGGCTCATCGAGGCAGGGGTCTCCTGGATCAGTGTCTAAGCAGAAACCATGTGACTTACCTCTGCGCCTGCTGGTTCCCACCCAGTTTGTTGGAGCCATTATAGGAAAAGAAGGTGCTACCATCCGGAACATCACCAAACAGACCCAGTCCAAGTGAGTATCAGTGAGTATGTGGAAAGCATTAACGTCTTCTCCTTTGAATCTTAATCTGGAGTATGCTGTTCTGGTGCTTAAGCCCTCTACAGGATTGCGACCCTCTTTGTATATAGTATGTGAGTATATAACAGAAGAAAGCAAGCCAACCCCAAACTGTGATTTGACTTAGGATTCATCTGTGTAAAATGTCAGAGGGAACCTCACATTTTCACACAAGACTTAAAGCAAATGATATCTGATCTCCTTCAAATGGAAAAAGGTGCTGGTGGACAAATGGGCCTCGGCCCTTCCTTGCTGCCAGTCTTGAGTGATTTTAGAAGTCGCTCTCTGTGTCAGTCCACTCATCTGTGGCCTCAACAGTTTTTCAGTCTTGATTTCCTTCAGATTCCTAAAGATTTATTCATCTTATGTGTTAAATTCCTCCTGTGATTAGCCCATGTGGTTTAGAAGGGATTTTTCTTCAGGATGATCTTGTTTCATAGTTTTTTTGATTAATCTTTTGTTTTTGAGACAGAGTTTCACCATGTAATTCAGGCTGGCCTTGAACTCACTGTGGAGCCCAGGCTTGCGTTAAACTTGCCATGATCTTTTTGCCTCAGCCTCCCAGTTGCTGAGATTACAGGCATGTGCCACTCGGCTTAGTTTGTTTGATAGTTTTGAACAGGCAGGTTTTAAGGTATTGGAAGATTCCTGTTTAAACGATGGAGCCAACTTCTCTGAAGTAGGAACTGTTTTATTTACCCCCATACTCCATTGCTGAGGCCGTTGCCTAATAGGGAGAAGGCTCTTGCCTTTGCCAAATGAGTGCAGTGGCTGTATGAGAACTGTGAAGACTTTTCTGTGTCTCTAAGTTGCTTTCAGTTGAGAAGTTCCAGGACAGTATACGCTAATTAATTGTTTTGCCTTCTAAACCACACAGTTGTGCAGTGTGTGGGTATTTTGACCCAAAGAAGCTTGGCGACAAACTCTCTCTACCCCTATAATGTGCAACAAGCACATCTCTAGGCCTGCATGCCTGTTGCCTGAAGATGCTTGTACAAACGATGACATTCTGCAAGCTACAGAGATACTTGAGTGTTTTGACTTTCAAATTTAGTGAAAGGGGCTTTATTCTTTATCTACTCTTTCTCTGAAAATTGAACTACTGTGTTTATGTGTTTGTCTCTTGCTTGAGTGTTTGTCCACCAGGCTTAAGAGGTATCCACATCCATCATAGGTGCCTTGTCTGCATTGAGCTGGCTGATTCATTGTTCATGCAGAACTCAGAATTGTATTTAATAGTGATTGCGTGCCCAGCCACCCCCACTCCTTCATGTCGTCCTAGCCTGACTTCCTTTGCTTTGAAGCAGGAGACACTGGCTGGTGGGTACCTGTGTACAAAATTAGTGGCCCTGACCTCATAATGTAGCAGGTGGGGAAAGCAGTTTAACCATAATCTAAATCAGTTTGCTTGACTTTAATCTTAATATATAAGAGCTTCTTGTTTCCCTTGATCTGTCCACCATTACCTACAGAAATGTATTACATGGTTTCCCTACTTTGTCATATGGCAGATTAGACTTGTTCCTTTTTGAGCTGTTCATTTCCTTGTCAGATGAAAGAGCTATGACTTAAATTGAACTGTTTTACTTAAGGCAGGAAGTGGGGGTAGAAAAGAAGGGAAGTGATATTTGATGATTCATTTGCAGAGCTCTGCCAGTGGATCTAATTAACTCTTGGCATTGCAGCTAATCATTATCAGAACCTTAGTTTCTGGAATAGTCTCAGGGGGACACCCTAATCACCAAAGTAACATTCTCTTCTCATGGGATCAGAGTTTAGTAGTCTTTAACAGAGTGAAAGGGTGGAAATACACAGGAGGAGGGGCCACATTAGCATGTTACCAGGAGAAAAGTGCTAGTGAATTGAGATTGAAGCTGATTAGGAAGATGTTTCCTGAGACTGAGACTTACCTAACACATGAGGGTTTTTGTTTTGTTTTGTAGTTTTTTCTAGGTAGATTTGTTTCATTTCTATGTTACCCATATTTTTAGTTACACATTCAGGAGCAAAACTTCAGCCTAGCAAAACTTTTCACCTAGACATTTAGAAAATGAAATTCAAACTGATTTTATTGGTATCAGTGGTTATTCTCAGGGCCATGAGTTATTTAGTTCTTTGTGTCAAAGACACATTCATTAAAATTTCTTTATCTCCAGGGTGCACAGATGCACACATTTGGGGGTAATTCTTTTTCTTATACTTACTAAACAACAATCAGTTTATTTGTATTTAATTCAAAATGTACAAATAATGCAAATTAAAAACGAAGAGTTACAGTTCACCTTGAGTTAGTCCTTAAGTTGGGGCTGTATCTTTATAGAGCTTGTTCCTTGAATCTGGTAACATACGTAATGTTTTCTTTGATTAGATATGAAGTCTCAGTATATTGCCCCAGGAGGCCTCAAATTCTTGGGTTGAACCAGTCATCCTCTCTCAGTCTGAGTATCTAGACTACAGGCATATACCATCAAGCCTGGTAAATGTGCAACTGAAGTCATTATGGTACAGTTTCCAGTTTTTTTCTCTTAAGGTCAAGGACCGCTTAAAGTATGTCTAATTTGATTACTTTTTTTTAAATGTAGCTTTATGGTGGGCTGGAGATATAGCTCTCATTAGTAGAGTACTTGCTGAGCATGTGCACGATCTTGGGTTAGAGTCTACCACAGGACAAAGCAGAACAAAACCAAACCCCATGGCTGTACAATGCAGACGCATTGTTATTTGACCATGTCTTTCTAATGAGCATTTTCAACATAATTCCAATTATTTTTGTCTGTTAAAAATAGTGCTCCCAGCAGGGCGCGGTGGAGCATGCCTATAATCCCAGCACTTGGGAGGCTGAAACAAGAGGATTGCTGCAAATTCAAGGCCAGTCTAGATTACAAAGTGAGTTCAAGGCCAGCCTGAACCATATAGCAAAACCCTGCCTCAAAAAAGCTCCAGTGAATGTTATGTCAGTGACTCTCAATTAGACTGATTTCCCCAATGAAGACATGGCTATATCTGCAAGCACCATTGGTTTGTTAACACTAAATGGAGGATACTGGCATCTTGTGGCCAGGCTTGTTGTAAAACATCCTACCTTGCACAGAATCCATGAAAAAAAATAGACTGGAACTAAACTTTCAGTAGTGCCAGACGTGTAAAACACCACTGTTAGCTCACATATGGCACTCTGTGTTGGTTACTTTTCTCTTGTTGCTGGGACAAAATATCCAACATCCAAAATTAGGGAAGGAAAGGTATATTTATTTAGCTTACAGTTTGTGAGGTTTTGATCCATAATCGTCCGGCTCTAAGGCAAGGTGGCACTGCACAGAGGCAACTGTTCTTGGTGGCAGATACCAAAAAGCAATGAGAACAAAAAGGGAGGATAGCTGGGGACATAGCTCAGCAGCATAAGCACCTGCCTAGCAAGCACCAGGTCCTGAGTTTGATTCCCAGTACCAAAAAAGGGGCAGGGTGGAGCATGAGAGCAAGCCTCTCTCTCTTTCACAGTGTATGCAGGCTGCCTGCCCCAGGTGGGTGTAGCACAGTCCCAGCTTTGGACCATGAATTAAACACAAACTCTAGAGACCTGACTCCATGACCAAAGGAGGCTCCGCAGGGGCATCTAGACATAGACCATAACACACTGTCTATAGGAGGTGTTATGAGAAGTAGGATTCTTGAGTCAGTGCTCACTTTGACGGTACATATACAAGAATTTGTGGGGCAACAGGTCATAAGCATTTCACCTGTGATGGCTCCTGCCAGTTTGCTACGAGTGCCCACCAAGAATGTGAGTGTACACCATTAACCCTCTATCTCACCAACACTTGGTTTAATCTCAGAATATTTGCAGATCTGGAAGAAAATGGTATTTTAACTGTTGAGTGAATAATTACTAGTTTTGAGCACAATTTGAGTTTATTGGCCATTTGCTCTTCTTGGAAGCAGAAGTACCACCTTTGGGTTACACATTCTTCGCTATTTGTTACTGATCCTGCTCTATCTGGGAGGCAAAATGCACACAGTAACACCAAGTTCATACACTTCCCTTTGCAAACAGCTTGGTTGACAAACAAAGGTGTTCAGCAGAAGTTTGCTTCTGTTCTCAAACTCTGCATTAGTTGACTAACAGCCCTGGCCATCTTCCCCCACAAATAGAAATAGTCATCTTCCCCAAAACTGTAAAATCAATCAATCAATCAATCAATTAATTAGTCAATCCATGAACTGCGGTATGACTCTATTGGGAGAGCCTCACACAAGCAAGGCAGATGAATGAGATCTAGTCAACAGTGACTGGTGGCTGTTCTGTGTAGAACCAGGGCTTCAGCCTTGGCCCACACTCCGAGGCTGTTTGTTTTAGCTCGGGGAAAGCCTTTTGTCTGAATTTTAGGCTCTGTGGTATGAGGTTTTTGTTCTTTGGCATCTGAAAGGAAGCTTTAAATACAAAGCTTGGGCAGCATGAAAAGATGTCTCTGCTTGGTTGGGTTGAGGGAAGAGAGAGTGTTCTTAGAATTAAAATTCGTTTTTCAGGGCCGACAGCTCATCAGGAGTTTCTGCTCTGGAGGGAAATGAGTCGTGTACTCTTCCCCAGTGGTCCAGTGACTTTGCCGTTGTAATTAGGGTTTCTTGTTAATACACAGCAACAATTCTTGTTTTCCTCTCTGTTTGTGTCCACTACTATCAGAATCGATGTCCATCGCAAAGAGAATGCAGGGGCTGCTGAGAAGTCAATTACAATCCTTTCTACCCCTGAAGGCACCTCCGCGGCTTGTAAGTCTATTTTGGAGATTATGCATAAGGAAGCTCAAGATATAAAATTGTAAGTAAAGAGAACTAACCTATGAAAGATGTTATATGCTGTCTCTCTTTGAATTTCTATGACACACTTCTTGGGAACTGCTAACAGGCAAAGGGAAATGGAATCCATTGAGCTGCAGTGTTTGATACTTGATTTGGTTGTGAAGCGTAAAGTCTTAAATGTTCCATTTTCATCCATGTGTGGATATGGATCAATTGTTGATAATGGGCAAGAGAGTCCAGCTGTGGAAGAAGGCACCTAGAAGACATAGAAAACTAACCTAAGACCAAGAAGTGTCCTACCTCGAGAGGGGTCCTAGATCTAGAGTCATTCGTTACTGAGAGCTCACTGGAGCTCTGAGCTTGCCCTCTGCCTAGTGCTAGCCCTCGAAAGCAGTGGCTCTGCAAGGTGAGGAAGTCAGTGATTCTGTGCTATGGTAAACTGGAGATTCAGTGAGGTGTTGTAGGTGGAACTCTTTAATATCTTTTGCATAGGAACTTGAGTGGAGGTTGGATTCTATACCACTTAATGTCCAGAATAACACTGTGCTACAAGTGTAATTCAGAATAAGCCTCTTAGAATCTAGCCTGGGAACCTCAACACCAATACTTAATTTATAGAAACCTTTAAATATGCCCTAGTAATAGTGTTATACATGAATGGTATAAGAATGTAATCATTTCTTAGTAGAGACAAGGCAAAGCTCACTGTTCAGTAACCCTAGCAACTTTTAAAAACAGTGGTATGTGTATGGTTTAGAAATTCCAAAAGGTACAGAATGCAAAGTGAAAACCTCCACTTCCTGCTCATATGCTATCCCCCAAAGTATGACTGCTGTGGATTTTTGTTTCCTTCATAAATTGTGCATGTCTTCTAGGTATGTATTTTTACATTTTTACTAGGATTGCACTATTTTGCCTTTGTACATTGGGTTCTGGTTTTAGGGGTTTAGGAATATAGATTAAGAGAAGCCATCATTAAAGGTAGATACCCTGAAGTGAATGAAAGAAAAAGCATTTTTTAAAATGTTTTTCACACCCTCTATTTGTGTGTTCTTAGCATGTGGCCCAGTTATCAGTATGCACCTAGCATAACATTTCCCGTATGGTAGGTAGGTAGTAGTGTTTAATGAATGAATATTATCTTTTTATCCAAGAGCAAGTTAACTTTCATAATTTTTCTATTTATAGCACAGAAGAAATCCCACTGAAGATTTTAGCTCATAATAACTTTGTTGGCCGTCTTATTGGTAAAGAAGGAAGAAACCTTAAAAAAATTGAGCAGGACACAGACACTAAAATCACAATATCTCCGTAAGTACTGCTTTGCTTTAGAATTAAACTTTCACACACATTATTTATAGGCTGTCCGTTGTTCTGTGCTTTACTTTCCTGTCTTTCCAGCTGCTACGGCCAGCTGTTACACTTGGATGTCATTTCTCAAATTCAAGTCTGTTGCCTACTGTCTGTTTCTAACCCATATTGAAAGCATTACCTCTGTCATGAGGAGGCAGGGATAACTGAATGCTTTGCATTCATATTTTCTAGGTGAAGTCTTGATGATGCTTTCTGACACTGATTTCCAAAGTTGAGATGTGTGATCAGTCTAGTTCATTATCCTTTGCTGTATAACAAGTCATTCTGGTGTTTGACAGCCAACATACATTTATATTGCTCAGCCAGTTCCTGTGGGTCAGGACTTGAGGCCCCCTGCTTCTGACTCGGGCTCCTTACGCTGCTGGCTGCCGCCAGTGGTTGGTGAGGCCTCAGAGCTGCTCGGGTGAGTGTTTGCAAGTGGAACTATGTGCTCGCTCGGAGGAAGAGGTCTCAGACACAGCCAGGTGGAAGCGGCACTGTGGCAGAGGTGCAGAAATGCTGCCATTTTGCTGACACTGCTTAGGTGAGTCAGCCCTCTTCATTGTGTGCAGGCACTACAGGAAACAGGAAGAAGGGAGACATCTTGGAGGGAGCTGCCACACCGAGAGTCCAGAGCACTCTGAAACTCTGTGATTCCGTTAGAGCCCCCCTAAAGGTGGGAAGAGACTGAGGAACTGAAAAAGAATGATACAGTTATAACACAAAATGCTTGGCAGGCCTGGGGGAGCCTAGGGATGAGTCTAAATAGTCTAAAATGAACAGCTTTTATTTGCTTCATTATATAGTTGTTTTACATTTTTAGCAATTTTGAGAAAGAATTAAGGAATAAAACCCCATTCATCTGACTCAAGGTTAGTCTATGACATTTTACTAGTAGTGCAAATAGTAATTCTGAGTCTAAGAATATAAAGGAAAACTGTGCCAGTATACCTGGTCCTTTCCGTATACATTCTTAACCAGTTTGCAGTTATGTTTCTTTCTCATTACTTTTCTTCCAAGGCTGTTCACCAGTTTGTTAGGCTTTAGGTGTCCTCAGAATTGTCAGTGGATCTTTGAAGCATTGGCAGGACCTGGGTTAAATGGGAAGTCTGCCTCTGCCTGCCCGCCTCCCTCCTCCCCCTCATAAAATTTTATTGGTACATTTAGATATACATAAAGCTCACATTCATCATGTATATACAGGGAATGTGTACCTGTACATACTATATCTTGCTGCCTCTTTTTTCCCCCATTCCCCTTCCTTCTACCCCTCTTCTGCTTATGAGAGTTTATCTTTTTTTGTACTCTAAATGGTCACCAGTGGACTATCTTTAAAATGTAGTTAAACTGGAGCTGGGTATAATGGCACAAGTCTATAATCTCAGCACTTTGGAAGGCCAAGGCAGGAGGGTTGAAAATTCAAACCCAGTTTGGATCATTTATCAACTAAAGGAGAGTCTGTCTTAAAAAAAAAAAAAAAAAAAAAAAAAGTCTGCAGATACACATAGTTTATTGCAAAGCCTTGAGTTCAATCCAGTACCACAAAAAAAGTTGAGTTGGATTGATTTATATTATTTCCCCCAGTCTGCTGCTAAATTCTAAAAATATACTATTGAGGCACGTGAATTCTGGATGACTCTGTGGGAATCCTGCCATGTGATTCTCTTGCTTAGTGTCCCTGAAAATGCAATTGGCATGAGTTTACGCTAAAACTGTACATCCTTCTGATCAGTCCATTTCAGTTCTCTGTTACCTTGTGAAAGTGATTCAACTTATGTGGGCAAGTTAGCTGTGTCTAAGACATGAAATTAAACTAAATATGTACAGTAATTTTTGGAGGGTGAGAGGGTAAATATTTCTTTTCCCTTGCAGCTTTTATAATTTTTGGGCTTTTTTGGGATTTCTCATTTCTTCATCATGTTTGACCACTCACTTTTACATGCCCATTAACAGAGTTTGGTTTTAATTGCCTTCTGTGGCTGAATTATTGACTCTTTCTTCTATAATTTCCCTTTTTTTCCTTCTCTTTTTTCAATCTGCAGATTGCAGGAGCTGACGCTGTATAATCCAGAGCGCACCATTACTGTTAAAGGCAGTGTGGAAACGTGTGCCAAGGCTGAGGAAGAGATAATGAAGAAGATCAGGGAATCTTACGAAAATGATATTGCTTCCATGAATGTCAGTTTTAAGTGAAGCACGTGTCTTTATTTTGATAAGTAGTTAAAAGATGATTTTTATCGTGTTAATGTTAATTTCTTTATTGACAATTGCATGAGAAGTGGTTTTAATGGATTTTTAGCACCATAAGAAAATCCCTGGCACCGAAGGGAAGGCACTCTTTGACAGTTTGTAGGTTGTGGCTTCTTTATCTGTGAGGAAAGCCTGGTATTAGAGGGATGTGACCTAGATTTGAATCCTAGCCCAGGATTTGTGAGCTGTAACTTTGTTCTTTTGGATAATTTACTCATTATCTCTGAGCCTTTTTCTTCATCTGTGAATGGAGCTGCAGTGTACTTTGCATGCTTACTGGAGTCGCAATAGCTGTGCAAGTTAGTATAAAAAATACAAGTTTAGGAGCTGAGAGTGTAGCTCAGTGCTAAAGCACGCCTACCATGTGTTAAGACCTGGGTTTGATCTCTTAGCCCCACAAAATAAACAAAAACATTAGGTTTAAACTTACTTGGTTACTTAAAAATCATAGAGATAGAGATGATTTTAAGTGATAACCCTGTAATCTCATAGTGAGACCATGTCTCCAGAAAGAAGAAGGGGCTGAGAGGAAAATATTTCAAATGACAAATTTGTATAGTGTATCTAAGGCGATTAGAGCAAATTACTAGCATTTTTCAGTGGATGGAATGGTGCTACAAATGGAAGCTTCAAACGTCCATCAACCTTGCCCGGAGTGGTCATACACACCTGTAATCCCAGGGTTATAGGGGAATGAAACTTCCCAACCTACTGTGTCTGATATGAGTTCGTGTTCTCTAAAATCAAAGAATGAATTTTAGCAACAATGGAGGTTAAGAGCAGAATATATTTATTGAAAGAAAGCTTCTGTCTGAGAGAGAGAAGGGATCCCCAGAGGGTTGCCAAAGATTCTGTATTTTCTTGGGGTTTTTATAGAATAAAACCATGAGGTGAGGTGAGTCTAAACTGGAAAAAAGTGGGGAACTTGCTATGTTTAGCCAATAAGATTAATAGCTCAGGTAAAGTGGATTAAATTTGAAACAAATGGGGAGGCAAGTCACATAGAGAGCAGGTATTCTTAAGAGATGAGTGACTCCTTCTATAGGGGATTGGGATGGTGACTCTTGGCTTCTCAAGGTGATCCAGATTTAATCCCTGATGATTATACTTGAGGGTGTGGTTGTATTGGTTTTGCCTTCTGTCCTGAGATCTGGCCCCAGCAAGAGGTCTGTCTCCTCCAAGGTCATCAGACATCGGGTCCACTGTGCAGGCTTCTTGGAGGGCCTGACTGCCTGTATTTCTATCTAGCTGGTTCCCTGTAATACCAGCACTCAGAAAGCTGAGACTGCCGTGAGTTGGAGGCCAGCCTGGGTTACATAATAAATTCAAGCCCAGCCTCAATTACATTTTGAAACCTGGTCTCAAAAAAAAAGTTCATCTCAAATTTTGAAATAAGTGATATAGTGAAATTCGCTAGGGACACCTGTCTTGGAACTGTAAACCTGAGAGAAAGGAAATGTGAAAGTCCTGCCTTTGTGAAAAGAGCTACAGTGCTGATCCTTTCACCAACATGATGGTGTGTCAGCCCTCACATCATCACTGCTGCTTTAAATGTTTCAGAATCAGCTGGGATTAAAATCAGCTCCACAGACCTTTAAAAAGATTATCGAGCACACTCAAGTTTTAATTCTCCTCACCACCTTTTTAAAACTTCTAGAGTTAAACAAAACCAGAATCCCTTCTCTGGCCCCGTATTCATTCCAAAGATGTGTCGACTTGCAGGTGTTACGTGGGAGCGGGACCTGATTTCCAGTGGGTTTGACTGTCTGAGGCCTGTAAGACCTGTGAGTGCCTAGTTTTGCCAAGGAGTAAAGATGTCTTCATAGTTGCTCCTGTGTCCTTGATACACTTTTCAAAGAGCAGATCTTGCTTGTTTACCCCTCAGCTAACGCACCGCTTGTGGTGCACAGCTCAGTCCTGGCTCAGCACTGAGCGGTCCTGCGGGCCAAAGGAGGTGACCTCAAGGCCGTCACTGTAGCTGGGGGTCAAGGCTGCGACAGACCAGTCCACAGATTTAAAAATGTCAACAGATGTAAACTATTGAAGTATAGTCTCTTGGAACATCTGATCTGAACTTTGAATCATGATACAGTTTTTAATTCATTACACAAGGTCATGATCTGAATACTGTCACTTAAATGCTCCCTTTTGCTTTATTCTTCTAATGTCAGATTAAAGGACCTTTTTACTATTGCAGCTTCAAGCACATTTAATTCCTGGTTTAAATCTGAATGCCTTGGGTCTGTTCCCGCCCACTTCAGGGATGCCGCCTCCCACCTCAGGGCCCCCTTCTGCTATGCCTCCCTATCCACAGTTTGAGGTAAGGTCACTGGTTTGGCTTTCTTTGTTAAGAGGGATTCATCAGACTTTATCGCCCCCAACTTGTGTGACATTGGGTGCTCATTGTGGAAAACCTTAAGGCAGAGCCTTGAGCCCACCTGGTCTCTCCTCTGTCAGAGTTGTTGTGTTCTCTCCATTTTTGTCAGTAAAATTTTCCATTTGACCTGAGTCCAACTAAAAGACCCAAGTTACTGGGCCAGGGATTTACCTCAGTGGCACGAGCATTTGCCTGGCACATGTGAGGTCCTAAGTTTGATCCCTGTACCAAAAACTAAAAAAAAAAAAAAAAAAAAACCACCACCCCCTAAGTTATGTTGAAGATGTTAGATGGCAGAGTTATTAGCATGTGTTCCTAAATATAAGATATATTAGGGGCTGGGGATTTAGCTCAGCGGCATAAGCGCCTGCCTTACAAGCAGGCAGTCGTGAGTTCGATCCCTGGTACCAATAAAAAGGAAAAAGACAAAAAAAAAAAAAAGATATATTGACACCCTATGTCGAACAAAAAAACAAATAGTTTGTGATTTTGAAAGAGGGGATGGGAAGTTGATTATTTTTCAGCACTGCAGAAAAGGATTTTATTAACTTTCTTTTGTCACCTGCTTTTGTCACATTTGAGAGTGAGTATGTACTTAAATTCCAATATAGCCATTCGTTTTTGTATTACAGGTGAACAGATTTGTTACAGGGTTGGGTTTAGGACAGAGGAATCCATGGCACTTCAAGAAAGATCAGACACGATTTCATTTTGAGTGTTTGCTGTTTTATAGAGCTAAGATAGTTTTGTTCACAATTCTACGTGGGTGTTGGAGGGATACATGTGCACACAAATCTGCAAACATAATAAATCTGTGTTAGAAATGTGTTATGTTTATATCTATCCTTTAACAGTAGTATTTTCTGTAAGGTCAGAAATAGGAAAATAGGAAATAGGGGTAGTATAAAAATAATTGCAACACAGTAGACATTCGACAGTAAATCTGAAAGTAGTTAATCATTCAGTTGCATTATTAAATCAACACCGATTGCTGGTAGGTTTATGTGAAATAAAATCAGCATTTTAGAATCTTCTGTCATGAATTTGGTTGTATATCCCTTCTATCTGGTTTGACTGTCTTATATTTTGAGTGATATATACTAATTCAGGGAAATGACCAAGTGGAAAAAGTTGAGGATTCCATTATATCATTGCCTAGAAAAAATGTATTGGTAGTTAAAGCGCTTTAAAATTCTGCAGGAAACACTACATACTCTCATTCTGTGTCTCTGTGGCTCTGTCTCTGATATGTCTCATCCTCACTGTGTAGACCAGGGCAGTCTTGAACTTGCTGCAGTCTTCTTTTCTTAGCTTTCTCTCTCTTTTTTTTTTTTAAATTTTATTTAAGGAGAAAAAGAAAAAAAAAGTAGAAAAAGGGTACAAGTTATACAGAATTTCAGAAAAAAAATAAACAGTAGGAAATCACTAGTTAATGGATTACATGTTGTCATCTTAGAAATATTTGTTCAAGTTACAAAATTAAAGCATATAAAGTGGACATTCAAACAGTGAGACTGCAAACAGTTCTGTTCAGTGATCCAAAAAAACTCAGTAATATCATTGTCTATCTTACACACTTAAGTATACATGCAGTTATATCGTTTAGAGCACTTTCTTTTCCTCTCTTTTGTACAATGACTATTACACATTTTGGGTTTTATTACTCCCACAGTTCTTATTACTTTTTTTGGAAGAGAGTAAAACCAAATGTGACATAACACAACAGAGTTGGTCAAATCAAAAGGGTGGACATAATAGATAATGTAAAAACATAATGCAAGGTGATCAACAATGCTTACCATAATGCCTCCCACTATCTCAAATAGAATTGCCTATATCATCAGTTATAATAAAATAGAACAAAACAGTAAAGAACGAAACCAACAAAACCAAGACATTGGAGACATTACAGGTCTTCAAAAGAAGATAATAGTTAACCAGAATGGGCGTCATAATGAATCCCACTATTTTCACAGCTGTTGCCTAAACTTTCGAACCTGGTACTATCAAGCAAAACAGAATAGAGGAACATCAGTCAAAACAAGATGGTGAGAGCAATACAGGGCTTTGAATCAAGTTAATAGAAAATCAAAGTGGGTTACTATAATATATCCTGCTTTTTAAATTTATTTTTCCCTTAATTAAAAGGATAAAAATAAAGAAGTAAATAATAAAATGGAGATTGAGATAAAAGAGGGCATAACAACAAAACAGCGCAGATCAAAACATAACCATTTAAGCAAAATAGTGTTTCACCACAAGATAATCCCGACATAAAAGTAGTTACCATATTGTCTCTTTCCTTGAAATCTTTGAGTATAACTTCGTATACTGTAGCATCAAATATATCAAAGAAATGTAAAACCATTCAAGAGAATGACAATATTACAGGGTATTTAGAATCAACTAACAGAAAATGAACAATGGTTTCTGTATACTCTCCTTGTCTATAAAAGTTTTTATTTATACTGTCACATATAATAAAATCCAGTAAGATACAACCTATTAAGACTGATGGAGACAAAAGAACAAAAGCTTGATGGGACTTCAAAACAAGATGATACTAAATCAGCATTACCTATTAAGACGTCGTTTTCTCCAAAATAGCTGTTCCTGTCATCCAATCTTTTCTGCCTCGTTTCTGTTGAGCTCTTTTTCTGTCATTAGTTGTCAGTTTGTCTTCTTCATTTTGTTTTCTGCTCCATTCATTGTGGGCTCTCTGCCACTATTTCTGGATTCTTCATATTTTTCTTTTTTAGAATATCCTGCAGTATTCTCTGTAGAGTTGAATTGGTGGTTGCATATTCCCCTAGTTCCTCTTTATCCTGGAAGCACCTTGTTTTTCCATCAATTTCCAGGGATAGTTGCGCAGGATATATCAATCTTGGCTGGAGGTTATTATCTTTCAAAGCTTGAATTAAGAAGTCTGCTGTAATTCTGATGGGTGTTCCCTTGTAAGTGATCTGTTTCTTGTCTTTGACGGCTTTTAATATTCTGTTCTTATATTGGATTTCTGGAATTTTGATTATTATATGCCTGGGTGTAGCTCTGTTTGGGTAGTAGGTGGCTGGGGTCCTGTATGCTTCATACATCTAAGTATCTTTACCTTTTGCTAAATTAGGGAAATTCTCCTGGATTATTTCTGCGAGTAGCTTTTGTAGTTCATTTGTTTGTGTCCCTATCTCTTCTTTTATGTTCTTAATTCTTAAGTTATAGATCCTCTTATCATCTTCTAGTCTTTGTATTATTGCTGTTTGTTTCTTTGTTATTTTTAAGAATTTTTCATTTCATGCTCCCATATTACAAATCTGCTTTCCAGTTCAGATAATCTATCTTTAGTTTCTTTCAAGCTGTTATGCCAGTTTTCAATAGAGTTTTTAGTTTCCTGGTAACCCCTTTGAACCTGCTTCACGTATTTTATGTTTTCTTTATTTTCTCCATCAAACAATTCTCCCCTCTTTTTCTGTTCTTCCATTCCACCATCTGTTTTTTCTTGGGTGGTGCTTAGCATTTCTCTAACTATTCTGCTTATGTCTTGCTTCACATCATTAATAACTTCATTCCTGAACTCATCTATGAGGCTCTGGAGATAGCGCTTTATGTCTATTGGTGCCGTGTCTGCTATTGCCTATTTTTCAGGATTGGGGGCCAACGAGCCTTTCTTGTTGCTCCCTCTTCCCATATTCTTTTTGTTCCTTATATATACAAGCGTATATAGGAGGCTCAGCTTCCTTCCCTGTCGGCCACAGTCTGATTGAATTGCGCCGGCTAGGTGTTCCCGCCCACTGCAGTGCACCAGGGAGTTACGGACCGGGCAGCCTATGTGGGTCCCGCCTCTCCAGGTCAACCTACTGAAGGCTTCACTGCTAGGGTGCACCTCCAGGCGCTGGGACCTGGGTTGTGCTAGCCTACTGGGTCTCAGCCAGCAGCATCACGTAGGCTAAGCACTGCTCATCAGTCCCGCTTGAGGGGGGTATATGTGACTGAAGTCACTACAGCGCCCTGTTCCAGCAAGTCTGCCCTGCTCCAGAATGTCCTCTGTTAGAGCCTCCTAGACCGTGGGAGAGTCCCAGTTTCCCTCACTCACCGCAGGTCGATGCATGGCTCCCGCCCGTCTCGCTCTCAACTCCGTTCACTGATTCCCATTCTCAGAGCTTTTGCACGTCTCTCTCCCTGCCGAGCAGATTCAGACGCAGCCGCGGTGGCAGGAAACCCAAATCGAGGCTTCCAATGGCGCAGGCTCCAGCTTCCACGCTGAGGCTTTATCTGTTCCTGTTATAGCACCAGGATTGCATTCCCAGTTGGTTTCTCTGAGCCCATTTAGTTCTTGGTCAGCAGGGTGTATCTCCTCTTGCTTAGGATTCCTCACTCCGCACCATTCCTGGATTCTAAGCTGGGTCTCTCAGAGAGCCTTTGTAGCTGCTGCTATCTGTCCACCATGTTCTCCCGGAAGTCCTTGCCTTAGCTTTCTGATTGCTGGTATTACAGGTATGTGCTGGCATGCCTGGATTGTTTATCTCTTAGAAATGAGAATTTCTCTTCCCCATCCTGGAATGCACCAGGCTAATCAATGTTCTGAGTTCTTGCCCTCTTTCAATGTGTTTCTTCCTTTATTCTCAGCAGCATTGCGTCCTCCCCCTGCCATTTCTATGTGCGTTCAAGCCTGGGAACCATATAACTGATCTGAGGATAGCCACCAGTACTTCCATTACATAGAAGCTGGGCATAGTAGTGCATCCTCACCCCAGATCTCAGGGTAGTCACCAGTATTTCAATGAAATATAAGCTGACCACGGTGATGCATGCTTTTCCCAGGAACTTGGCTGGGGCAAGAGAATCACTTAAACCCAGGAGTTCAAGGCCAGCTTGGGTCACATAGCAAGACCTCAAACAGAATTTCAAGCAATTGTCAAGTGTAAATAGATTCATTATGCCTCACCACA